GTGTGTTAGTAAGTAGTAGTATATATATATATATATATATATATATATAATATAAAAGGATGTGGATGTGACAAGGATATGTTAAGTACAAGTATATAACTCTAAATATAATCACACACATACACACACACACACTTATATATACATATAAGTATAGAAAAATAGACATACATATTATATATATATACATACACACACACACACATATATATATATATATATATATTTATATAGCACAATCTCTTACCCTGCGGCTTCTTTAAGAACAACTTGACAATTGCTGTAAGTATCTGCAGTTGTACTGTAGGTCCCTCGTCTAGGTAGTTGTCCAGGAACTGTTCTAAAATCTCATCAGCATTGTCGATACGACCAGCGTACTCTCCAATAATCCAGATCATGCTAAAATAGAGGGTACATAAAGATTTAAATACAAGGCACAAAATACAATACAGATGAATGTTCAGTTGGAACATAAGCGGGATATAGAGGGTAGATAAGAGTTTACCTACAAACATACGCGGAAAACATGGCCAACAAGGATTGAGCTATAAAACCAGCAGCACGCGTAAGCCAAATCCTCTGATGTTTCAGAGACAAATGGTTGCGATACGTACGCGTCATCAATCGGCACACATCTACACATCTGGCGTTAAAGTATGGGTCATACGAATGCGTATGCGCCCAGACCTACACATCCCCACACTTGTCGTTCAAGTAAGCACTCGTTACGTATTAATATACGTACGCGTTATATATTAATATACGTATATGTCGTTCAAGTAAGCACTCGTTACGTATTAATATACGTACGCGTTATATATTAATATACGTATATACAACTAGGGTATACCCTAAACATCTAAAGCCCTGCATATATATATATACTTATACATGACTACCCTAAACCTCTAAAGCCCTACACACACACATATATATATATATATATATATATACTTCGACATGACTACCATATAGCCCTGCATATATATATATATACTTATACATGACTACCCTAAACCTCTAAAGCCCTGCATATATACATATACTTATACATGATTACCCTAAACCTCTAAAGCCTTACATATATATATATATATATATATGTATGTATATATATGTATGTATATATATATATATACTAATACACGACTACCATATAGACTTGCATATATACATATACTTATACATGACTACCTGGCCTTTGCCTCGGGCTCGTCCAGCGTGTCGAGGTTCTCGCACAGTCGTCCGATGATAGACTCGTAGCGGTTGGGATATTTGCGGAAGATGTCTTTGATCACCACAATAGCCTCTTGCACCACATAGTTCACCTGGTGTGTATGTATGTACGTATGTATGGTAATATAGGTGAGGATATATTTGTAATGCATGTATGTATACAATATTGTATATGTGTGTATGTGGTTGGGATACTTGCGGAAGATGATCTTCATCCTTACAACGGCTTCTTGCAGCAGCACCTGGTGTATAGGAACGTCTGGTGATATATGTGTATTCCTGTAAGCAGTGTATGTATGCATGTATATAGAAATCTATATATACATAATATATATATATATAAATATAAATATACTTACATACACATCAACACACAAACATACACATCAACACACAAACATACCAACACCTACACAGACACACATATATATATATTTACGTACATACAAATATATATGCATAGATAAATAGTTAGATGTATATATATATATATATATATAATATGTATAAATATACATACATACATACATACATACATACATATACATATTGGTACTATTCGCCTCCTTCAACCACGCACCTTCGTATGAATGAGGTTCACCAGCGTGTCGATACAACGTTCCGCACTGCCCTCGATTTTAATGGCGCATCGCCCGATAGCCCGTACAGATCTGCGCACAAAGTCCACATCCACCTCAGTGGCATACTCCTTCAGTTCCGCAAGAACTTGACTGATATTCGCCTCTGAGGCCAGACGGCACACAATATCGAGCTTCTCCAGTTTGACGTAGATGGGGTCGTTGTATTTGACGAAGAATACCTGTGTGCGTGCGGTATATACCAGAACACTCGGTGATTGGTGTGTATGTGTACAGATAGATGCACAGGAGTGTGTGATACATATCATGTGCGAGAAAGCTCAATGCTCAGCCTTCCTATTGAGATATAAATATGTGGTATAGACGGAGTGGCACACACTGTTGTGTTATGCAACATCTACATAGTGTGTAGCTAGTCTCACACCTCTCGAGCATATATTTATACATCTATAAATTTATATATCTACATATCTACACACACGCACACACACACACATATATATATATATACATGTATACATATATACATATATACACTCATATATATATATATAAATATTCATATATATGCATACGCTAATCCATACCAGATATAAACGTGCCCCCATCCCATGATAGATCCCACCCTCTGTACATACCTTCATCTCTTGCCTGAGCATGACATGCGTACAATACAATGATACACCACAGCTATAACGTAACCCAATCCAACGCTCTCTCTCTCTCTCGCAACGTACCTTCATCTCGTGCTTGAGAATGTTGGGACGGCGCTGCACTACCAAGTTAATGTTTCTCAGGGCAATGTACTGCACCTCTGGCTCCACCGACATCATCGTCACCAGAGGTGGTGCCAGTTTGCGCTCCATGGCCTTCTCAAAGTTCGAATCCTCCACAAACTCTAGATACTTCATAATGACCTATAGCCCAGCGAGTGTGAGTGTGAAGTCTGAGTATGAGTGTGGGCGTGAATATGAGTGTGAGATACACAAACATGAACAGAGATACTTATACTCAAATATATCCACATCAACAACCTTTGCACAGCCATGGACAGAGTTGAGATCATCGTAGACAACTGACGTGAATAAACACAGTTCTATACATTCCATCCACCGCATAATACCCACCCTTACACTACACATGCGTTCAAATACCACAAACATCCAACAGCCGTGCGACGTAGGTCAACACGCCCACACACCTTGACGGCTGATATATACCAATCAGCCTGACACCTTTATCTCCAGCTCAACATATACCTACCCATGCGTTTACATACATACATGCAAACATACACATACATACATACACACATACACATACACACATAAATAAACATATATACATACATGCATACATATATATACATATACATACATACATACTTACTTACATACCGCCCCCCCCCCCACACACAAACAACAGCCACGTGACCACCGATTGGCCCTAGTGCCACCCACCCTACCTTGACGGCGGAGAGGACTACTGCCGTGTTGGCGTGTTGCAGTCGTGGCAGCACCCGTTCGCAGATGTGTTGCGCCTCTTTCGAGTCTTTGGGTTCAATGGCCGACAGACTGTCCAAGATGAAGATCTGGCCCCACTCGGTGCATTCGTTGATGGCGGTGAGCAGCTTGTTGAGCGTCCCGGAATTGATCAGCTGTGCGATTGCGGGACGGGTGGGGGTGTACGGGATGGGTTGAGATGAGTTGAGATGGGGGAGTCGCTCAGATATCTCGGGGTGTTGTGTTTGTAGGCCTGGCGGTTTGCCTCCATGGCGTGTGTATAAGTGTATAAGATAGACTATGGAGTGTGTACATAGGTGTGCATACGAATGCACACAGACGAGTTATATTTACTCACACACACACACGTATATATATATATATATACATATATACACACGCACATATATATATATATATGTATATATATATATATATACACATATACATATATACATACATATACATATATATATAAATATATATATTGGATGTACATGTTACGGTGTCCGGAGTGCTCACACAATGTAGATAGTGATCTCATACGAAGTCCGGGTTCATTGGTTGTGCACGTTTTTGCTACGTATTAAAACGGAGATAGGATTTAGGGTTTTAGATGCGGTGGTACATGCGTCTACAAGCGTTGTATAGTGCGTGTGCACTTGAGCACACAACGGCTGATTTTAGTAATAGGCTGTACAAACTACCATACCGTATTTGTACACCAGTATATGAGCACACAAACCCTAAACCCTAAACACCCGTGAGCTACTACGTTTACGCGCATCCACTCGCCCCACCATTTCTCAGCAGAGACGTGCAAGGACAGGCTAAACCCGCACAGATTCATATCAGGTGGCAGCTTTAATCAGCCAGCAAGATACCTAAACAAGTACTCATGTCTCGTCCACACTCCCCAGAGCATAGTATCCACACGCGTGTCATTGCCTACTATGTACACTCCCTTTAACCACTCATACGCCTACCTACATCATCTCCTACTCAATCACCCTAGTGACATACTACCTACATCATCTCCCACCCAATCACCCTAGTGACACACTCACCATAACGTCGTCCTCCGACACTTCGTTGATTTCGGACAGGGCTGCGACTGCATTGGCTACAACCATGGGCGTGGGATCGGAGAGCATATCACGCAATGTCTCGAGAAAGCCTTGGTCTTCTACTAACTCGGGGTTGATATCGTACAGCTGTGTGCGTGAGGTAGACATAACACGGCTTAGTACTATACACGTCCATAGGTGGTTGTTACGGCTATGCAAGTGTTTGTACACGCTTAGAGGTAATTGCTGCAATATACACCACGGCACACCATATACAGCGGCACATATGAGATAGGCGTGGCATGTTAGTAATAGTATTAGGAGTACACACTCAGAGGTAGCTACAATATATATATATGCACTGCACTGCACACACACACACACACATATATATATATATATATGCACTGCACACCGAGCTCTCCCTACACCACTCGTACACGCCCAGTCAATAGCCACACGACTGCGAAGACAAGAGTGTTAACGTGGAGTAATAGAATATCAATCAAACTAACGAGCACTCACACAGCCACCCAGCAATAGACACACAACACACAACACACAACCTACTCTACATACACCACTCGTGCACTACACAGCCACCCAGCAATAGACATACAACACACAACCTGTGTTAGTGGGAATGTCTATTCCTAGGCCTAGTGCATCTTGCTAAGTAACATGCTAGTGGTAATACCACCGTGCACACACACACACACACACACACAGGAACAGTGGTCACACACCTTGGCCACACACACAGCCGCCGTCTTGCGCACGTACGGATCCTCGTCCTTGAGGCATTTGCGCAGGGGATCGCACAAGTACTCGGTGATCTTGTCTACACGGATGCACCCCATGGTACGCACAGCCAACGCCCGGATCAGTGGGGACGGGTCGTGACAGTCTTTCTGCGGGTGTGTATAAGGTGGTAGGTAATGAGTATGGTGTAGATATAAGAGGCTTGTAGTGTTTGTGACAGTCTTTCTGCGGGTGTTTATAACTGGTAGATAATGGGTATGGTGTAGATATAAGAGGCTTGAAGTATTTGTGACAGTTTTTCTGCGGGTGTGTATAACTGGTAGATAATGGGTATGGTGTAGATATAAGAGGCTTGAAGTATTTGTGACAGTCTTTCTACGAGTATGTTTAATGTGGTAGGTAATGGATATGGTGTAGATATGAGAGGCCTGTAGTGTTTGTGACAGTCTTTCTGCGAGTATGTTTAATGTGGTAGGTAATGGATATGGTGCAGATATAAGAGGCTTGTAGTGTACGGGACAGTCTTTCTGCGGGTGTGTTTAATGTGGTAGGTAATGGATATGGTGTGGATATGAGAGGCTTGTGGTCTACTCAGAACGATGCGACACATGTGGTGGTGGGTGCTTGAATGAGACGACACGTGCATGTGATAAAACCCTAAACCTTAAAAAACAACACCTGCATGTGATACTACGATAGAACTAAATCAGCAAGGACTTATCTAGAAACTTTAAACCTTAGAACTAGCCAGTCCAGGGCAGGCGACCCTATCCATAGTACATACGAGGAGTGACGTCTGCCCGGCAGACGATCCACTTGTTATTCGTAAGTTTGGAGTGTACAATGGGTGCGAGTGTATCACACACACCTGCTTGTACTACAAACGCACACAGTAGCGTATTTGCATAGACTCAACACTACACAACGCGACGGACATACATACAGTGGCACAGGGTTATGGTACGTTATATCCACAGAGTGATCTTGTTGTTTGTAGACGCTCTCCAGCCGCTATAGTCGTACACACCACACTATGAACGCCATGTATATGTGCACCGCTTTGTTACCGGCGAAAACGTACAACGGGACGGACAGGTGACACGCATATCATTCCGCACATGTGTTTAACAACGAAGCATGTGAAACAAGCACACACACTACAACGAAGCATGTGAAACAAGCACACACACTACAACGAAGCATGTGAAACAAGCACACACACTACAACGAAGCATGTGAAACAAGCACACGCCCTACAAACGCTCGCAGCAGTGACATGGCAGAGGTAGCCCCACAGTGCTGTACACAGTGTATGCTAGCACCACAAGTGTATGTGAGCGTATCTATAACCTATTGACAGTTGCGATGGAAAGGCAAGATGTCTCTGAGAGGAGGCGGTGTGTGTGTGTGTGTGGGTGAGCCTACCTGGAACGTATTGACCGCCATGATGGTTAGGTCTGGTTGCGAGGTGGCGTAGTTCATGAGATACAGATACACCAGCTTCTTCAGCTCCAGGTTATCCGTCTGCATGCAGTTCACCACATCCGGAAATAGGGCACTAACGTCCTTGCCCACCGTCATGTTAGCTATGATCTTCTTTATCGCGTCTACCCGCCGCACGCGGTTGTCTCCGGCCAACTGAGCCTTCAGCTCAAAAAGCTCGCCTGCACGCAACAGACACAGGGAAACGGGTGAGAGTGGGGCAGTATGATCGGTGTCTCAGGACGGTTGTGGTGCGTTTGATACGTCAAGTTTATAGGCAGAAGTGATACTTTTGGGAATGGGTACCGATCCAAAGAAATGGAATAGCGCTTCAAAAGTGGTAATTCTGGGAATGGGTACAGATCCTATTCGGAAATGGAATAACGCTTCTAATTTGATCTGGATGAAATTAAGTGTACTCCAATTCTCGAGGAAAGCCAAATCTTGCACGAAAAGATATAGACATACAGTAAATGTTTCATAAGAAGAAAGAAAAACGGATATAAGGTATATCAGAAACAATATGTATTCGGAAAATGAAACCATATAGTATGGAATCAACCTAAATGGCACTCAGGACACCTTCTAAATAACAATAACAATAACAATATATATATATGTAAACACATGTACATAGAAACAAACTAACTATATGTGTGTGTATATACATAAACATGATATATATCTACAATATGCATCGAAACTGTTAAAAGATGCTCTAGATAAATTTGAAACGCTATATAGACTATGAATAACATTTTAATATTTATATGTAATATCTAAAATATGCACATATTTATCTGTATAAATGAATACATATTCAATACATCAATACATCAATATATATATATATATATATATACGCACACACACACACACACGCATATATATATATATATATATATATATATAGTATATATACATATAATATATAGATATAC